GGAGCTTTGCATTCCTTGCAATTTGTATGTTAGCTCCTCCCAAATTAACAAAGAATAACAAACATCAAACATAACAAAAAATTTCCTTATTTAAAAAGTGTTCACACAAGTAGTGTATCTGGCCGTCGTTATCCAACCGCCAATGTAACTCCGGAATCAGAACAAGAAAAGTGATATTCACCACACTTACACTAATACATTGTAACATATATTCTGAAAATATAGATAGACGAAAAAATAACCTACTAGTGAACAAACGTGATTTTCTTCGACTTGGAAAAATTTCAAAAATTCTGTAGGAACTGCAATGTTTAAACTAAGACTATAATGTTGAGCGCCTACAGCTCTCTGCTTCATTATTTGATAGCGTCCTCCTTTTATTCTAGCTAGAGACTCCTCTTTCATCGTGTTGTACTTCTTGGGTAAGAAGAACACGTGATGTGGGAGTTAGGGCAATCGTCTCTCGGTTAGATATTTATTTGCATTCCTTGCAATTTGTATGTTAGCTCCTCCCAACTTAACAAAGAATAACAATCATCAAACATATCAAAAAATTTCCTAAATTAAAAAAAAAAACAATTACCAAAGTGTTCACACAAGTAGTGTATCTGGCCGTCGTTATCCAACCGCCAATGTAACTCCGGAATCAGAACAAGAAAAGTGATATTCACCACACTTACACTAATACATTGTAACATATATTCTGAAAATATAGATAGACGAAAAAATAACCTACTAGTGAACAAACGTGATTTTCTTCGACTTGGAAAAATTTCAAAAATTCTGTAGGAACTGCAATGTTTAAACTAAGACTATAATGTTGAGCGCCTACAGCTCTCTGCTTCATTATTTGATAGCGTCCTCCTTTTATTCTAGCTAGAGACTCCTCTTTCATCGTGTTGTACTTCTTGGGTAAGAAGAACACGTGATGTGGGAGTTAGGGCAATCGTCTCTCGGTTAGATATTTATTTGCATTCCTTGCAATTTGTATGTTAGCTCCTCCCAACTTAACAAAGAATAACAATCATCAAACATATCAAAAAATTTCCTAAATTAAAAAAAAATACAATTAACAAAGTGTTCACACAAGTAGTGTATTTGGCCGTCGTTATCCAACCGCCAATGTAACTCCGGAATCAGAACAATAATTTGTAACATATATTCTGAAAATACAGATAGACGAAAAAATAACCTACTAGTGAACAAACGTGTTTTTCTTCGACTTGGAAAAAATTCAGTTTTTCAGAGCAGAATCGCTCCCTCAATTACCAGAAATTCGCCCGCTTTTACCTGGAAGCCCTGCGGACGCCCTACTACAACATTTGGTCCTTCGAGCCGGATTATTTTAACATCTATCATATCCAGTTCGCTTCAGCAAGCATCGGCTGAGGGTTCTCAAGATCATAAGCTCACTCTCTTTTTAGCAATACTCGCATTATTTATTCTCTTAATGAGTTTTCAAGAATATTCTAAGAGCCTGAATAACGATTGTGGCGGATGTTTATATCTAGTGGTCTTTGATTTTATGATCGGTCCCACGCCAGAATTGTTATTGTCACCAAGAATCTATGATTTTGGGCTTCTAAGGTTTATTGTTACAAATTTCGTTGCTAGGGCTTATGTATAAGGGGTCTCTTATTTTAGGTCTGCTGTCGATGCATTATCGACAAACATATCAAAAAATTTCCTAAATTAAAAATTTCTTGGTTTTTACACAATTAACAATGCCAAATTAACAAAATAAAAACCTTTTTCAATTAATTGCATTCCTTGCAATTTGTATGTTAGCTCCTCCCAAATTAACAAAGAATAACAAACATCAAACATGACAAAAAATTTCCTAAATTAATTCATTATGTATAGTAATATTGAGCGTCTACCGCTCTCTGTTTCATTATTTGATAACGCCCTCCGTTTATTCTAGCTAGAGACTCCTCTTTCATCGTGTTGTACTTCTTTGGTAAGAAGAACACGTGATGTTGGAGTTCCAGGGCAATCGTCTCTTGGTTAGATATTTATTTGCATTCCTTGCAATTTGTATGTTAGCTCCTCCCAAATCAACAAAGAATAACAATCATCAAACATATCAAAAAATTTCCTAAATTAAAAAAAAATACAATTACCAAAGTGTTCACACAAGTAGTGTATCTGGCCGTCGTTATCCAACCGCCAATGTAACTCCGGAATCAGAACAAGAAAAGTGATATTCACCACACTTACACTAATACATTGTAACATATCTTCTGAAAATATAGATAGACGAAAAAAAAAACATACTAGTGAACAAACGTGATTTTCTTCGACTTGGAAAAAATTCAAAAATTCTGTAGGAACTGCAATGTTTAAACTAAGACTATAATGTTGAGCGCCTACCGCTCTCTGCTTCATTATTTGATAGCGTCCTCCTTTTATTCTAGCTAGAGACTCCTCTTTCATCGTGTTGTACTTCTTGGGTAAGAAGAACACGTGATGTGGGAGTTAGGGCAATCGTCTCTCGGTTAGATATTTATTTGCATTCCTTGCAATTTGTATGTTAGCTCCTCCCAAATTAACAAAGAATAACAAACATCAAACATAACAAAAAATTTCCAAAATTAATTCATTATGTATAGTAATGTTGAGCGTCTACCGCTCTCTGTTTTATGATTTGGTAACGCCCTCCTTTTATTCTAGCTAGAGACTCCTCTTTCATCGTGTTGTACTTCTTGGGTAAGAAGAACACGTGATGTGGGAGTTCCAACGCGATTGTCTCTCCATATTTGGTTGTGGTTCGTTCAGATATTTATTTAACTCATCTATCTGCCTATCGAACTCATCTAGCCTCTTATCCATTAAATCAGATTTTGTCCTAACTTCTTTTTGGCTATCTGACAGCTTTTCTTTTATTTTTCCCATTACATTCATTATCACATCGTATTTACTTGAATTGAAGTAATTACGATCGACTACTCCAATTTTGCACAATACGCTGCGATTTTCCTGGAACTGCCTTTGCAGTTCTCCTCCTTCTTGTGTTTTTCTTTTTTCAATAAAAATTGTCTACCTTCTACTACATATATACTACATTTTTCTAATTTATAGGATTAAAGCGAACACGACGTGTTTTTTTCTTTCAAAACAAATTGTATCGTTTAAATTGATCGATTTTGGAATGGATTGAATGTAATATCGTGCATTCATTCAGTTCATTGCAATTTTAAAATATAAAACAAAAACATTCAATTAAATGATTCGACTTATTACGATGCCACAATATGCCTTTTTTATATAAATATACCTTTGTATATTTGTACTTTGATGGTTCATTGGAAATAACTTACGTATAAAGATTATGTTTATGTAAAGTATTTTCAAAGCAGTGTGTCAATTTCAAATTGATTATTTTAAATCGTTTCAATTTTCTTTTTTCTAAAACTGCTGCACTTTTCTCTTTTCTCGACTAATCCGTTTCTTCTTTCGTTACTTTGTGTGACCTTCTATTTTTACCTTATATGCCTAATTTTATCGTCTACGTCTTTCGCTATTATATCCATTTATCATTTTGTGCGACTTAACTCGCATATTTTATTCATTAGCAAAAAGGTTTAACTATATTTTATATACGTGATTGTCCAATTCTCATGACTGTCTCCAGAAAGTCGTTTTCAGGAACCAACAGCTGATCAAGTTCCGTACCCGTTCACGACTAAGCTATGATTTATCGATTATTGATATTTTAACAAGGGGATGAGACTGCCACAATTTCGTTTGATCTTGTCACCCAACTGAAATTAAAACTTAAAACTTGATATTCTTAGCCCTTACGATAAGAATCTTCATCTTCTAAGATACTTCTATGCATTGGCATACAATTTATCTAAAACGCCAAGCACATATTGGAGATGAGCTGTCGTAGTTATTAATATTTCCCTTATTAGCTTATTAATTTCGAGTGCAGCGAGTTTCAGAGTGTTGCTTCGTTCTCATGTGTTTTCAAAAGCAGCCTCCTTTTGGCAACCTTCCCAAAACCACGCTCGATAGCTAGCGTTGCCACTATATACTTTAACAGCACTGTCTAAATGCAGACCTATACAACACCATCTACAATCGACACCCAAAGTAATTATCGATACAGCGGTTAATTTAAAAAAAAACATCTATTCCCCGACACACACACATGTTAAGCTCGACATTTGCGTGTTGAACAGACCATTTTAGAGTATAAGTCGATAACTTATGTTATCGGTATCTGATGCAGCTCAGCTTGTTCACTCATGAACTAGCACACCGGATCTAGTAGTTATATAAATATCGTATATAAATATCGTACACAAGCATCGTAAGCAATAACTATCGAATATTTAAAATTCGGTTACAACAATAATCAGAAATCTTAAAGAAAAACTGATTACTACAAATGCAAATTAAGTGCCAAAACTAATTTAACCTTTGCTTATGTTGAATGGAAAAAAATACTATTGATTTATTGCCTTAAGGCAAGGATTTGATAAGCAGGCCAGTCGTAGGGCAGCTCATTAGAGATATAACAATCAACAATGTTTATAAAATAAATGTAAATAATTTAAATCATATGCAAATAGAATCAAATTATTTTTGAAAATATGATATTTACAATAATTATAATGTTAATGCTAAACGTTAAATTAAGCAAAGTATTTTTGGTTAAAGTGTTTATTTAAAATTGAATTTAGTTTCTCATATGTATATATAATTTTCATTGGGCTGCTCGGAATACAAATACGCAAAAAGTGGTTTTATCCAATTAGTTTTTTGTTTATTTTTTCGTTGTTTTTTTTTTTACACTGGGTATATATATGTACGTATTCTTCTAACAATTTGTGTTTTTTTTCCATCAGTTAAATTCATTTCTTTACAATATACATTATAAATACGTTTGTTTATATATTCATAAATAGTTCATATAATAAATTTCGTTTGAGTACAAATGCGATTATTAGTCAAGCCAAACTGGAAATTGTAAATTTTGTTGTACACACTAGTTTATTTTTTTTTTTATTATGTTTATGTTTGTATTTTTTTTTGTTGTTTTTTTTTTTGTGGATCTCGCATTTGTTGTTACAATTTTCAATGCCCCAAGCGACCTTAGGATTACGTTGAATAAATAAATGAGTTGAGTGTAGGCATTATTTTTTAGCTATTATTAAAGTTTTCTTAATTTTTTTTTTTTAGTTTTTTTGGTTTTTTTTGTTTTTTTTTTTTTGGGGTTTTTGTAGTACTTTTTTTATTTTCAGCTACTTCTCATAATCATGGATAAACCAACACCATCCACAGCATATTACCACTGATTCGAGGGGCGACGCTCAGCTCCGGGCGCAGCGCTGCCGGAGAATCGCGGCGAGGAGCTCTGCGAGGAGCTGCTGCTGGGCATACTACTGCAGGCGGCTTCGTTGGCCAGAAGCGTATGAATGGCCGCCAGCAGCTTCTTGCGAGCTCCAAACGCGGTAATGCCCAGCTCCATGAGATTCTCCTCGGTCAGGGTCGAGAACATTTCCAAATCGATTTCGTTCAGCACGAAAATTTCTAGAAAATAAAACAAACAGTTAACCAACAATATATAAATAATACAAAAATTGTATATACTTATGGATTTATAAAGCACGATTTTCGCTATATTTATATAGAACAACTTTAAATGCAATTCAAATGAAGGCATAAATAACATAAATATAATATTTAAACTAATTGCAAAAATACCATAGAATTAACGTTCATTTACACTTAAGATATATAAAAAAAATAATAATATTATCATATTATATTATATTATTATATTATATTATATTATATTATTATATTGTATATATACACACAAAATATATATTATACACAAGCTCAATTGTAATCATAACAAAATATAAATGCTACCAGAAAACAAAAAAAACAAAAAAAATAAAAAAAAAATAAAATTAAAATAAAAAAATAAAAAATAAAAAATAAACCCAAAAAATTGAAATAATGAGAAAGAAATATGTACAAACAAGAGCAAAAAAAAATTTCAATAAACATAAAAAAAATAAAATATGAAATGAGAAAAAAACAAATTACATATAACCAAAAATCCAAAAAAAAAAATCAATACAAATTAAAAAAAAAGGCATTTAAAAAAATGAGCAACAGCACGAGTGCAAAAAGAAACTTAAAATAATACTCCTACCTAAACCTACTTCCCCACAACCTACTTCTCCACACCTTACCAACACTACATCAAATCCACCTGGCATATCTCAAGCAATCCAACAAACGATCCAATGGATATCTCAACAAATACAACATAATTTCAAAGCTAACACAACAAAGCTGCAAATGTCTGATGCCGTTCTACAAATTTTGGAAAATGAAATCATATTTCATACGCTTGCCAACACTGACAATATGTTTTAACTCGTCAGTACGCTCTTGGAAAAGAATTTGAAAGCAAAAGCAGCCGCTCAAGAAGAAACAACTGAGAATCTACGAACTCAGCTTCACAAGTCTTCTACACAAGTCGTCTTCAAATAAGCAATATAAGACGATGATAAGCTTCAGCAGCACCGAATGGAAAAAGAAATTGAACATCTACAAGTCTTCTACAACTCTTCTACATTTGTTTTTTTTAATCTTTAAACGCAAACAAGGAAACTTTTTACATCTTCTACTGAAGTCTTCTACACAAATCTACTACATAAGTCGTCAATACAAGTCATCTACGCAAATCTTCTACACAAATTCTAAATTGGATTATTTCGAAAAAACAATACACGACGCTGATGGCCCATGAATTTGGCTTTAAAATAAGCCAGAATCAAAGAAAAAAACAATGATGGAAGACATCCGTATTCCCATCCTGTTCCCATTTTGCTTCCTTATTCCTTTACAAAACATTACCACATTAAAATAGTTTCTATAAAAATAATGCAAAAAAAAGAGTTCATAATAATAATAATAATAATAATAATAATAATAATAATAATAATAATAATATTAATAATAATAATAATAACAATAATAATAATAATAATAATAATAATACTAATAATAATAATAATAATAATATTAATAATAATAATTTTATTAATAATAATTATATTATAGCTAATAACAATTATAATACACTGTTAGATAATAATAAATTGTTATATTCATAATTAACTAAGAAACTAAATAAATATTTGTATATACATATCAGGCTATTTAGCTCCTATTAAAATTTATAAAAAAAGTCTAACAGCTTTTAAAAATATGACGAAAAATTATTAAATTCCTTACAAAACAAAAATAATAAAATGGTTAGCATATTGTCATAATTATTTTTTGAAAATAATTTCTTAAAAAATCTAGCATATTATATTGCAAAAAAAAATACATGTAAATATGTAAATATTCGCTATATGATACTTAGAGTTTATGTTATTTCTAACTAGTGTTAAGATTTGTTGAAATAAAATTCTAATGAAACAATTTAAAATTTGACTTTTTTTTAATTAAATGTTTGGATCTAAAAACAATCTTCAATTCAAAGATTGAAAACTCTATTGCGAAACCCAAAAGAATTATTAAACTAGTTTATGAGAAAATTATCCAATTTTCTTGCAACAAAAAATATATGTAATTATATATTATATTATTATTTAAAGTTTTTTTTAGTAAACGAATAAGTAACTATTTTTAATTATGTATAGAAGAAAGTTCATATTATTATATTACATAAACAAAATATGTTAATATATTCTCAACTATTACTGCAAATTATTACGAAATAAAAATATAAATATCAATAAATAAATAAATAAAATAAAAAAAAAACTAAAAAAAAATAAATAAATATAAAAATAAAATAAATAAATATAAAAATAAAAGAATGGTATAAAAATAATTTTGTAAACTAACTTATGGGAAATTTGACCATATTGTCTTACAGTAAAAAAAATATTTAAATATATCATATATAAATAAAATATATATAAATATATTTTTGATATTCTCCATAAATATAAAGAAATTGTTAGGAAATAAAATTATAAATATTAAAATAAATCCGTTGGACTAAACTACAGTACAAAATAATTTAAACTAACTTTTATACATATTAAAATGTTTGTTATTTTCTACTAATATAATAGTTATAAAATACAAATTGAATAGAAAAATTTTAATTTTGACTGTTTATTTCAATGTTAGATTATCTGAACTACTATATAAAATAATTTATCTATCTCCAATTTTATCTATTACTTAATTTATAGAAAAATGATCCACATTATATTGAAGTTGATATAAATGTAAATATCAAAATATAATTTTTTTATATAACAAACTCAACTTTTATTAGTTCGAAGTAAAAATTGAATGGAAAAATTTAAAAATTTATAATTTAAATTTTGACTTGTTAATTTCAATAAAAAAAACTGATTGAACCATCTAAACTTCTAGCAAAAGAAAATTTAATTACTAATATTTATTATTGAAAAATTTTATAGCTATGAAAACTAAATTTCCATCGATTGCCAACAATAGAATAGACAGAGCTGAACTTGGCTTTATTTTATAGAGAGATATAAGATATAAGAGACAGACAGACAAGCGGACATTGAGAATTGAATTGATTTTATAATTGATTGCGTTACAATTAAATGGAAGTTACAGAGAATTTGATTTCAGTGCGGATTTACTCACTTATGTAATGCTCCAGGCCGAGGCTTGTCAGTAGGGTGTGTATATCCTTGTGTTGTGAGAGTTGCATGCGCCGACTGACGGGCGTTGCATCCAGCAGGCCCGTTGTCGCGCTCAGTCCGTAGGGCGAGCCCAGGCCCGGCGGTGGGGCCGGCATGCGCCAGCCATTGGCATTGCCAACGCCATCGTCGACCGTCTCGATCGGAGCCGGCGACGTGCGACTTAGGCCCATGCCCAGCCAGGCCGGGGTTGGGGTGCGCAGCTCACCGGCGACCGGAGTCCTCTCCATGGCCTTAAAACCGAGCGCACGTTTCATATCAAAATCGAATGCGCGTTGCTGCTGTTGCTGCTGATGCTGCTGCTGCTGTTGCTGCTGTTGCTGCTGCTGCTGTTGCTGCAGCTGCTGTTTGCCAGCTGCTGCGGCCAGGTCATAGTGCAGATTGCGATAGCTTTCGGCGCTGCCGGGCAACAGATGTGCCCCCCCGCCCGCCGTGGCATTGCCCAGACCCAGCAGCACTCCATCGCTGAGGCGCCGGCCCAGCCGGGCGGCGGCGCCCGCAATGCTGCCCGCCTCGCTGCTGTATGTCGAGTCCGGCGAATAGTGCGCCCGATTGGCGCCCGCTGATGAGGAGGAGGTCGATGATACGGCCGCCTGTACGTGGGCATAGGGCGGATACGATTGCTCCAGTGAGGTGGTGCTGCTGCTGAAGCTCTGATAGCCGCTGGTATTTTGGCTGCAGCTGTTCCGCGGCGACAGATTCACGCCCACTGTGGGCGGTGGGCCAACGTTCGATGCAGGCATCGGAGCGGGCGGCGGCTTCAGCAGACCGCTGCCGGGCACTTGCAGATAGTTGTTGTTGTTGTTGTTGATGTTATTGTTATTGTTGCTGATGTTGTTGTTGTTGTTGTTGCTGCTGCAGTTGTTATTGTTGTTGTTGCTGTTGTTGTTGCTGCAATTGTTCAGATTGTTCATGGTCGACACCTGGCGCGGCTGATAGCTGCTATTGTGCAGCTGCAAATACTTCTGCGTGGGCGCACATATGCCGGTGGGCGTGGCCAGGCCAACGCCCGCAGCGAGCAGCATGTGAGCCTTATTGCCATACGGCGTCAACTGGCCACCCATTGTTGGGGGCAACAACGAGGGCGTCTTCGGACTATCCGGATAACCCGCAAGCAAAGCCGTCAACTGTGAACGATACGCCAGACTCACATCCTTGTCCTTGGGCATATAATAATGATCGGGTATCTCCGGCTTGATGACGGGCGTTGCCAGGTGTAGTATCTCCTGGCGTGCCTCATAGATTTTATCTGCAACATAAATGAGAAGCTGTTTAGTATTTGGCAAGGTTATATTTCAGATATATATATGTAATTTTTTAAAATGTTCTAAGATTATTAATTTTTCAATTTTTTCATATTAACTTTATAGCGCATTTTATGATATATTTTTGTAATCAATATTTGATAAAGTTTAGCTTTTAAAATTTAGAAAGTATCAAATCACAATCCCATGAATAATCAAATGTAATTTCTTTTTATTATTATGTAGTTTTCTCTATATTAAATTTTTTTTAACTTTACATAAGTTTTGAATAAAATATTTTTTAAATCAATTTTTAATAAAGTTTTGCTTTAAAAATTAATGAAACATCAAATCAATATCCCATGAATATGGAATCATAATTTGCGGAAATCCTAATTAATTTGAAGCGTAATGCTTAAAAGAAGTTAAGTTAAGTTAAGTTAAGTTGACGTTAAGAGTTATTGAATTGGTATACAAAATATGTTTAATTAAAGAGTTGTTGAAATTTGTAATTAAATATTTTTTTGTCTATATTTGACGAAGTTTTACGTTGAAAAATTAAGAAAAAGTAAAATATCTTTTTTGAAGTTAAAATTAAATTCAATTATAAGAAATATACTGAAGACTGAAAGCCAGGCAGAAAAGGTGGCGAAACTCCAGTATATTATCCGACTTTAATTTTAATGTTTTATGCACAGATAATTTCAAAAAATAATTTTAAGAGAATTTTCCACAATACAATAATCTATTTGAGCGGGTGTACTATAGGGAATATATAGATCTAGAATGCAAAGATATTTTTAATTTTTTATAGATTATTTTCCTCTTCATAAATGTTAATGCTAAATGTTTAATTTTTTAACATTGAATTTTGTAACATAAAATATGTTAAATCTTATAAATATTGCCTCTTAAGTTTACTTTTTTTGATAAATAAAAAGTTCTGTCTGATAAGTGAAAGAAGACAAACCATGTGGGTTTGAACCGTCAGCTGATATATCGAATCTATCGATATACTTATCGTAAAATCGAAGAAGAAAATAATCCTTTTGACTATCGATATAATGTATATCGCTTATTTGTAATCGTAATCGTATCTGTAAATCGTAGAAATTCCTCGAAATACTAAAACCTACAATTTCAAATTTCTATCGATATTTGAAATTGAATTTTGGTTAAGACTCACCGATAAATTTCTCAATGCCCTTGATGACGATCGCTAAGGTGCTCTGTCGCTGCTTCTGGCGCAGTGTTATATAGACACCATATTTGATATTGAGTCCCATTATTTCGGATGCATCGGTCTGATTGTCCGGAAAGTCAAATATCAATGCGACGGGCATGTTGCCGAGCAACTGTTGTCGCGCCCTATAGACATCGTCGATGCGTCCGCTGATTGTCACCTGTGATTTCTTCAGCGGCTTAACATTCATATCAGTCAGATCAGGAAAAATGATTTTGGTCTGTGTGCGGTCCATGATGCTCAATAGATTTACATTGTTCTTGCCCTTGACAATCTCATGATGTTGCGGCGATATTTCCATTTGCACATTCACAAGAATTTGACTCTAAATTGGCCGAAAGTTAATATCAGTTCCAATGCTGCTCTACTTGAAACTTACCGCAATGCTCTCAAAAGCGAAATTGATCAGCAGCTGCGTGGCATCGCGCACCTGCGCAGATTCCTTCTCGGAGCCCTTGACCAGCACCAGGGATGTGTGCAGCTTGGGTCGCGATGAGAATATGACCTGGCCCATGGAGATGGGGAAAAAAGAAATTCAGATTATTTGAAAAATGAATTTGAATCGAAGCTTAAACCAAACCAAGACGAACCGAACCACATTTCACAATAGGAGACATTTAAAAGATAATTAACTGGAATCTAGCCATATTTTGGTTCAATCAGGCAGAAAGCTGGTTCAAACCTTAAACCGAACCCCGACTCTATACCTACAGTCGTCAACTGTTTTTGATTTACCTGCACATTGAATTTGCTCTCAATCATTTTGATGTACGGCGTCTCGTGATCCGGCTGCGGCTTGCCCGGCCCCATGACGGGCATCTCAAAGGAGATGAGCAGCGGCGTCGATAGTCTCACCAAAGCACGGGCACGCTCCACGCCCTCCAGGCTGCCGCACAGCGACACCTGGTTTGATTTTTCCGTTGGATTCGAACGATTCGAGTCCGGGAAATGTATGTGCGTGTGCGTGTCGTCCATGATGCGTTTAATATTGTTGCCGCCGCGTCCAATGATATACGAGTGATCCGTATAGCTAACATCCATTTTCATAATCACGCGAGTGCCCTGAAAAAAAAGGAGGGAAATACATATATTAATATATATAGCAAATGCAGCTGAAAATTCTAGTTAATTTGCATATGCACCCTGGAGTCAAGACTGCCTAGAATATGATCCTTGGCACGTTGAACCTGCTCCACCTTGCCCACAATCCGCACATGTGGATCTAGATGGAAGATATATAGATAGATATAAATATAAGCTGTATAATTGTGTAGGTACTTGAAGGGACTCACCCTTCTTGCTTTTGGCGCCGATCTTCAGTCTGCAAGGCCAGCTCACATATGTATCCGTGGTGTTCATGATCTAAAAGATAATAAGTATATATGCATATATAGGTTATATATATGCGTCTTTATATAATACACTTGAATTTTGTTTCGATAATTATAATTAGATAAACATTTATGGTTTCTTCACTAAAATTTGTAATGTGTCGGCTAAACGTTTAAATGTGAATTTTGTTGTAACGTTTAAACAATTTATACGAGTGTGAAATATGTTTGATATATACACTAAATCGAATGCCTACTGAGACAACCCTGAATAACTTCCATCTTCAATATACTGATAAGACAATGAAGTTGAATGGAAACGGCATAAAAGGAGGAGAAGGACGCTGGTTCAAGTCTCACTAGCACTGATAGATCGCCAAATACAAAAGATATCTGAGCTTAAGTAGCATATGTGTATTATAATTTTGTTTTTCTTTAATTGAATAGTATAAAATAATTAACATTAATTTGTTGTTCACTAAAAATTAGTAAATATTTTACAGATATATAAATAAATTGAAAAAATATATATATGTTTAAAGGTTATTTAAACAATTTGGGCTTTTAGACATTCTAGAGTTTAAAATCGGATTCCAAAAAAGTAGAATACAAATTGAAGCATTTCATAGAAATATACAAATTGAGGAACGGAAAAAAAATTTATTTAAAAATATTATTAAAAAGTTATAAAAAATATATAAAAAAGAGGAATATCGAAATAAATCGAATTTAATATTCGACAAGGATATTAGAAGGATATTTAACGATTATCTAATGTAAACACATATTTAATAGAATTACAATATATATATAAATAGATGACTAGAGAAAAATAAATTCCAATTTAATATTTGCGTAGGATAAAAGAATAGGATTCTCATTATCGACTGTTCACTGTATTATGTACATAAATATTTAATAGAATAAAACACATATAATAATATATAATATATAATCATATATTTAATTAAAAGGATTTAAAAATGTGATTCTCATTAGCGAGCTTTCACTGTATTATTTACATACCTATATACAAGACTAAAATTATTCTATTAACATTGTTAATTATAAAATAGATAAGTAAAGGGAAATATATTGAAATTTATTATTTGCGAAGGATATTAGGTGGAGATTATTATTATGATAAAATAAAATAAATAAATTAATATTAATAAAAAATGGAAAAGAGAAGTAAGGAAAAATAAATTAGAATAGCATTTGTAGAGATTAGAAGTTGACTTTCATTACCGAGTGTTCACTGTATTATGTTATATATAAAAATATAATAGATAAAGAAGAGTTAATAGGAAAAGAAGAGTTAAATCTATTAGAGTTGAATTAAAAGGATATTAAAATACGATTCTCATTACCGAGTGTTTACTGTAATCTAATAAAATTAATATATTAATAATTATGTTAGAAAAAACAGTTAATGTATATATATTGCAATTTAATATTTGCGAAGGATATTAGAAGGATACTATTAAAATATTGCTTTATGTACGTACATATATAATAATATAAAATTAATAAATTATTGTTACTCAAACGAAGTGAAGTAAAGAAAAAATATAAAAATGTAGCTAAAAAGATATTTGAATACGATTCTTGTTTCTCGATTCTCTTCGTTACCGATATTCTAATTTCTATGTATATAATAAAGTTGGAAAAAGACTTTTCAATATAATGTAGCATGCAAAAAGAATTCTATTTTAATTTATGAATTTAATTCTCAACTTACATCATCAAAGAAATACTCCGCCCCGTTCATGCCCTCAATGGCGCTGTCCGCTGCAATTAAGTTAAATTGTTATTAATAAATAGAATAATTTGGCCATAATTATTACCCTTTATCAACTGTTCCAGTTTCTGTCGATCAACCTTGAAGCGCTCCGTGTGCAGATCGTCCGGATTTTGTACGCCCAATTTTAATGCAATGGCCCGTATGTCGCTCCAGTCGCTGTCCACCGAGGAGATTTCGCTCTGCGTCTCGCTCGGCGCACCGCTGCCCCCCGCCGGGCCCGTGGGCAGGGACAGGGTGGTGAGGCCAACGGCAACGGGGGTCGCTTTGGCGCTGGCCATGGCGGAGACATCCGCGGCCGTTGGGTAAATCAGTTTATTGAATGGGGCACAGGAGAGCATGTCGTTGTTATCGTTTATCGGCTATCGGTTATCGGTTAACGGTTATCAACTAATCGATTAACGGCTGTTGTTTGCAACTTGTTCAATTTGTTTATCGAATGGTCGTTTAGTTTTTAAAACCAAGCAAAAGGTCGTTTAAAGGATGTTCGTCTTGGGTTCTTACTTCAGATGCGAGTCGGTGCGTGTGTGTGTGTGAGTGTGAGTAGGTGTGTGTGTGTGTTTGTGTGTGTGTGTGTGGGTGTGTGGGTGCGTATGTTGAGTCTGAGCAACACTGTAATTGATGAGGTGAGCTGTGTATGAAACATGAAAGCGCAATGTTAACAGAGTACCTGACAAATGGCAGTAAAAGTAAGGGAAAAATGGAAGGGAGAATGCAATGGAATCAACGATATGTGAATTATATCTGAATTTTACATCGTTACATTTCCTTGAAATATCATTCAAAGTTTTCATATAAATAATGTTGCTTAAATTAAATGTGTACACGATTTTTATACGGATAACACTTTCTCCTTTCCTTGAGATTATGGCTATGAATTCATTCCTTTTGCTTTATAAATTCGAATGACTTTTAGATAACTTTCCAATTTCCAGGCACTAACATAACCTCTCTGTGATATTTGCCAGACAGCCATGAGGTTTCCTTTGACACACCCCATTTTCAGAAACGGAAACGCAAAGAACACACAGAAAAGAAAGAAGAAAAAAACTGGGCATACATATATTTACAGTTACACTTTCACTTAACTGAGTCACTTTCCGAACACCGAACCAACTTACCGAACCAGTTCGCCGGCTCTATTTAAGATTGAGTAGGCCTCGAAAGTCCAAGCAAATGGCATGCGTTAGGTCCTGGACAAATTGTAGGGCCTCGACGAGACAAACGTTCATAACAAAATTACGAATTTGTACGAATCTTTCGACGAAAGGCATTTAAATTGTGATCAACGCAATAGATTTGTCTATATTAGTATATAGAGTCTTTTATTATAATAAAGTTAATCCCTTTATTTTAGTTTTTAGATATATTTCAAGTAAGAAATAACTTTAAACTTGGAATTGATATTGCTTCTATTTTTTTTTTTTTTTGCATAAATTGCAAGCAATTTATTTATAATTTTTTTTTTTTTGTTTAGCTAGGAACTTTGCTGCTTTCACTTGGACGACTCGAAGGCAATTGAACGGACTGTCGGCATTTGAGCTGGAGGCCAGGGATCGATCGCATGCTTTCGTCAGCGGCAAAAGCTGCCGAGGCAACAGGAGGCAACTGTAAATTGGGATTAGCCAATGGGAAAAATGTGGCCCGACGCCTGGATAAATGCATTAAAGAGGCCGCCTGGGTCAACGAACCGCTCGCAGAGAGTGCAAAATAATTAGATGCTTGCAAACAAAACAAACTTACAGAGAGTCAGGCTGAGCTGTCAGGCGACGTCAGCTTGTGAGAGCGGCTGTTAATAAAGAGAGCGCTCTCTTTTGTGAGTCGAATTTCCTTTCTACTAAGATCACGCTCAAGGCAGAGCAGCTTAAAAGTATTTGCATCATTTGTGCACTAAAAATCACACGCATTTCGTTAAATATATATTTTTTATTTTTTATTAATATTTTTCAGATTTTTTTTTTTATTTTTTTACACACTTTTCATTTTAATAATTCTTTTGTATTGAGCATAAGATTTAAACATTTCGGTTAAACATTTCTGTTGTTTAGCAGTAACAGCGCACTGTTAACCAGTTAACATGCTGTTAACATTTTGGAAGAACATTGCTCTAAAGCAAATCGGGAAGAGATAAAAAGCTCGCACACAGTTATAAGCACACATTTTTCCCGCCAAAACAAAAATGAAAAAATACTTACCGCAATTTGTAATACGTTTTAGTTTTAAATAGCACAAAGGACACAAATTAGTTATTTATTAACTTTTTGTTTGAATTAACACAATAAATATTTATAAAATCATAAATAGGCACAAGAAATAATTTAGCCAAAAAAAAATTAGACGCTCGTCAGTTGGTCAAATTTCTGTTCAGTCGTTTTACTTTTCGATTTAAGCACAAAAAAGATAATCACTACCGAAGACAGGTGCGCGCGGGAGGGGAGATACAATCAATAGAGCAAGACACGTGCGTAGAAAACACAGAAATAGTTAGAAAAAAAAAAAAGTTGAAAAACGAATTGAAGCTGTTGTCCGAACCGAGTCAAGGTGAAGTGGGTTAAAGCGTAGCTTTATTTGTATTTTATTTTATATTTTCTATTTTTAAATTAAACACTTAACTTAATGGAGTTTTTCTTTGGCTTTATTCGAAATACAACGCGTCGTAGTAAATGCAAATGGACTCGGGCGGTGCTTTCGTCGTCATTGAAGCGCGTTAACTGCACAGCCCGATGCGGGATCTTGTCCCATCTGACCTTCAGGCGGAGCTTTGCTCAACCAATGTGCTGCATGAGGGGTGTGCGGGGCAGCGCAGAAAGCGAAAAGCTTTCAGATCAACGTGTGCAAATAGATAAAATAGCAACTACAACTGCAGCAGCAGTTGCAGCAATAACTGCGCTCGTGCAAAAGCTGTGCCTGTTGAAAGCTTTGCAGTGCGCCGCCTGGTCGCCACAGCCACAAGCTTAACGAAAAGCTGCGTCCACTCGTCGCGCCCATAGATGGCGCTTTGGCGGGATTACAGCGTGAGGCGCAAATTCTTGTAGTTTAAAATATGAAAAACATTGGAAATCATTATTAATAATTTATTATTGTTTATTTATGTTTATATATTTAATTTGCTTCTTATTTAACCCATAGCCATAAATACTAATGCTTGCCAGTTTTTATTTAATTCACTTTTTACATTTATGCATTTATTTTATTTAAATATTTCGCTTATAATTAAGTGATTTTTTTTTAAAGTTTCCTTTTACTTTTTACAACATTTTCCGACTGTTATTCTTATTTTGGCTTTTCTTCTTCCTTTTGCTGATTATTGGTTTAATTTAATTTCGCTTTTATTTTCAGATATGAATATGTATTTTATATTCAATGTAAGCATTTGCGTTTTATATATTAATCGTATAATATATTTATCTAAAGTCTAATTTCGAGCTTAGCTGCTAGACAACATTAATGTTTAAATATCATTTTGTTTATTGTTTACATCGAAAACGTTGAAAAGAATAAATACACGTAGTTCCTCTACGACTTTCTATATACACTAACAATTCACGAATAACATCTATATAATGCCTATTCGTACATATATATATATATGTATATATTTAAGTATATATTCTATGTTTATAAAGCTGAACAAAACTGAAAACGGAAATTATAAACGGATTTATATAGAAAATTGAGCAAACGTAAATCAGGGAAGACAACTTTCACAACACTTTTTGATTAGATAAACCTTAGCATGCACTATATCTGTATATATATATATCTGTTTATATCTGGGTATATATCAGCATATATATCATATTCAACATTTACACATACTAATTTACTAACCATAAATTCACAATTGATTTTGTGCTATTTAGACAACTTCTTAGCTTACTTTACTATATACAATTTAATCCAAGTTTTGATTATTATATTATTTATTATTATATTTTCTTCCATTTTCGTTTGATTATTAATATTATTCCCTGCTTAAGCCTAGTATGCTGCATTGTGTTCTATTGAAATTTCCTTTTTTTTTTTTGGACAATTCCGAAACTTTTTTCTGATGAATTAATTTCCCAAGAGCTTTTATTTCATTTACATTTTGCGTTTTCCATGCTTCCAAATTACAGTTACATCGATTTTATTTATAAGGCAAAGGAACTATTTACCGTTGGATTTTTGTTTGCCAAAAATGTTAAATAATTTGTAGTTATTTTTAGATTGCTGAAATAAAACAGATTCATGTTTAAACATTTCCTTGAATTCGCTATTATGCACCTTTTTTGCGTCTACAAATGAAAAGTTTTTTTTTGTAATTAATTTTGCATGCTTCCAAAACCGTAAAAAGTTCCTTTCTATATAATCTTGTTATTATACCAGCTTACATATACATATACATATATATTTTTTCATTTTATTTGTTTCTTCCATTCTTATGTTGAGCAGAACTTTATTTACAAATTAACTGCGCAAACTACTTGACTCTAACTGCGTAAGAAACTATAAGAGAAGCTTTTTTCGTTTCCTCTTTCTCTTCTTTAAACTGCACTGCGATATATAAAAGCTAAGCTCAAGTGCAAAGTTGAAGATCAGATTAGAGGCTGACCGCAAAAGCTTTTCACAGTTCTCTTTCGTTTGCGTGCGGCTTAAGTTAATGTAATGTAAAAACAAGTGATCTCGCAATTTGTGAATGAAAACTTTCTGCTATACAAATACGTGTATATTTGTTCTCTTTAAATATCTTCAATTAATTTGGTGCGCCGAATAAATCGCATTTAAGTGTGCAGCCTGCAGCCAAAGAAAGTGTTTTTTCTCATAACATCAGTTGAAAAACAATTAAAAATAACTGAAATAAAGTGTGAGTGGGTGTTGGTAATAAAGTACTTTTTTCTTATAATAAAAAAAGTGACATCAGTTAAATAATAAAATAAAAAAACAAAACAGAATAACAGTGTGAGTGGAAGCGGTGTAGGCAATATAATAAGGAAATAACGGAGAGCGAGAGCGCAAATTCCTTATTTGGGTACTTTACTAGTGCAAAGGAATTTTCTAATTGCCAGTTGCTTTTGCGCAGTCGTGCGGAGTGCGTCGGTTTCGTGTGTGTCCACAATAAATGTAAGAATGAAATTGCGAATTACAAGAACGCTTAGGCCCACCTGTGGCACTTTGCTTAGTGTATAGGAATTGTATTTAATGTAATTATTACGCAATCGTGTGTAGTGTGTATCGCGTGAGTGTGTGTACAAAATTACGGAAAGCGCGCGCAAAGCTGGCAGCGCAGTCAGCGTCGGCAATGCAAGAATGAAAAATAATAAGCCCTGGCCTCAGCGAATAGCTAGCTTGGGATTTTTTTTTGGTATGTTTTTTTGTTGTGAGCCTTGCGCAAAGGCAGCACAGTTAGCGTGTGCAGCTAGGAGCATTCATGTGCAGCGCAGTCAGCGTCGGTAATTCAAGAAATTTTGTGTGTAATTTTTTTGTTACTGCTGTGTTATTGTGATCTTTAATATATTGTGAATTTAGACTGCGTAAAAGCAGCGCAGACAACGTCAATTTTGGATCGCCTACCGAAAGTTAGCAGCGCAGTCAACGCAGACAATTTAACAAGGAGCACGCGTTCGTACTCAGAGAGAGAGAGAGAGAGAAAGAAGCGGTGATTAAATTGTATAAAAAAATAGGGAAATGGCTGCAGGGTAAGTTTTGCTCTTACATTTGTCTATTGCTTACTAATTGCTACGGCATTTTATACATACATAATTATATATTTTTGTATACTTATGATTTTTAATTATTATAATAATTAACGATATTTTAATGCGCTTCACCTGTCTTTTGTTTATGCGTACATATGTTGCAAACATATAAATTTTCCTTTTTAATAAGTATTATATTTACTTGAATTACGTTAATTACATTTTTTTGTTGTTAGTTTGCATTTCTCTTTGCCTTATCATATTACAATTTGCCTCTTAAATATTATTTAAGCTTCTCTTTGCTTGCTCTTTCTCTACGTCATCCGGCTTCAAGCCCGAAACTGGCTTTTGCAAGTACACACTTAAGTACGTTTGTGCCAAGCCGAACTGCTGCGCATATATTTATTAATTTTTGTTTATTTCTGCTTCTGGCATTAATTATTGCGCTACTTCTCACATGAAAACAAATAAGAGAACGAAACAAATATCGCGTGTTGGTTAAGAGAAATGTGCAGCACCTTAAGCTACTTTCCGAAATGCATTTCATCATTAATTCAGCATCAGCACGTCGCAGCCGTTGCCGTTGCCGCTGCCGCTGCCGCAGCCAGCGTTGGCCAAGTCATCAATAATCGTTGATCCGGCAGCGCGGTCGCGCCCACTTTGGCAAGTGTCGCTGACAGCTGTTGATGTTGGCGCTTTAGTGCTTCCACTGCTGCTGCAGTTGCAGTTAAATCAACGCCTGACTCGGCAGCACTTGCCATATTCCCAGCATCGTCATCATCGCCATCATCATCATCGACATTATCATCATCATCGTCATTTCGTTGCAGGCAGCCCGAAAGTGTTGCCAATGCCATTTGACAATTATAAAAGCATTTGTCGCTCTCACTCGATGCTGCCTTTGACATTGTCACATTGACAACACGCGCGACGCCGCCGTCGCCGCCGTCGCTATCCGACTGTTGCGTCGCTGCTTTGTCGCTAGCGTATTGACAGTTGTTAATTTGATGGCCCACCCACAGGCAGAGGGGCAGCGCCGTCGCCGTCGCCGTCGCAATGCCGTTCGCTACGCTAAGCCATGTGGCGCATCTAGCAGAGTGCCACGCCCACTTTGAAAGCTGCCTGTTGATGTGTCTGTGAAGCTTTGTTATGTGCTGAAATGGCAGCGCCTCCATAAGCTTGAATGGCCAAACGCGCCAGAAGATTTCGTGAGCAGCGCTCGAAGCGCCCGACGCGGTATTATCCGCTGCAAAAGAGACAGAAAGAGAGAGCGTGAGCGAAGCAGAGCGGATTATTAAGAGAGCTGCCTGTGTGTTGCGTGACATGTGCATTAGCAACAAGATTATCTAAACACAAAAAAATGTATCTTAAAGAGTATGTGCCATGCAGGTGCAAAGATATTTATGGGATTTTAAATAATAATAATAAGCCGATTGCAAGGTCAACTAGCGTGTAGTTGTGAGCTGCTCTTTATGCTAAGAAAAATATCCCTAATTAAATATCCAATGGAATATTGTCTTAATTGATCTGCTCTTTATTGTCCCTAATTAAATGTCCTATGGGACATTTATTTGCTTTAGGATATTAGCATGTTCTCTTAATAAAAGCACACATTTCGGGTTATTTACTCGCTACTGTCTTGCTTAAGCAGAGCTCTCTTAATAAGAGCCCATATTTAGGGTTATTCACTCTCGAATGTCTTGTTTAAGTAGAGCTTAAGTAGTTTCGGCTGAATTCTAGTGGGATATACCGAACTTTGAATACACTAGGAGCTATCAGGCTGTTTTCAACTTATTCTCTATTTATAAAATGAATGAATGTGTGTGAAAGAGAAACTAGTTTTTATTTATTTATTGTACTTTTTGACAGAGTCGTTTAATATTTGCTAGTACGTTATGCTCTTTAAATTCTGATTTCCATATTAGATATATTCTGTATGTTTTTTTTTTGTTACTCTCTTGCACTCCATTGAGTTTAAGTCACTTGCTACCAGCTGAAAAATATCTGATAAGTCTCTGCCACCCAAAAAAAAAGGCCCCACAGCCAGTCAATATACTCTCGTATGCATGTATGTGTGTGGTGTTCATGTCAACATTGCATTTGCATAAAGTTCACAAAAATCGAATTCACTCGAATCGGAACTACAAGCAGTAAACTGCGAAAACCCTCCAAAAATGTTGTGAATTTTGCCGAGCGTGAGCTCTTCTTGCAGCAAAGAATGTTGCATACTTTTATGCGCACGTTGAATATATTTTCTCTATTTTTTCAAGTCGATGTAATTTTAAATACAATTTGCAGCTCAATGCGTTTACAATGTTGTACTTGTTGTTGTTGTTGTATTTGTTGTTGTTGTTGCTGCTGCGTTTTGGCGTTAAGTAAATGTTGCCGCAAATAAGTGGCAGCTCTTGCAAATAGCGAAAGTGTGTGAGAGAGAGAGAGGGAGAAAGAGGAGGGAGAATGAGTTTAACGCATAAGCCACACAGCAATCAGCTTGCTTTTCTCCAGCGAAAATTAGAGAGGCAAGTGCAAGAGTGCTAGCAAAAAAAAGCCCGACTAGGAGATACTCCTCAGTTACTTGTATTATACTCCTTCTGCCCCACACTATGAAAACTTAAATCTGGAATAACTTTCACGCTTATCCGCCTTATATACTCTGCTTAGGCCATTTCCAATGTTTACAGGGTATGTAAATAGACCCCAAAGGTTGAAATTACCTCTGGGCCACAACTACACAAAATCAGCTCTCGCCTGCAACGATTCCGCGACAATCTTTCACTGTCTGAAACGAAGTTTATAGCAATTTGATTCCGCCCAACATTTGATTCGATAAGCGTGTCGGTTATCCTGCTGCCACTTTCCAGGAGCAGCAGCAGCAGCAGCAGCAGCTGCCTCTGCCTGAATGTTTATGCTGGCAAATGTTATTTGCATAATTTACGTTGTATGTTCGAGCGGCAAACGAGTCGTGAGAGAGGGGAGTTGAACGGGGGGTCACAGGACACCAAGTGACTTGATGGGCAACCATTGAAAGTTGACATAGCAGATGCTCAAAAATGTTGCCCCCACCTATCCCCCACTCGCCGCTCAAGTGCAGTTTGCATGCAGCTAGGATCAGGCAGGCAAACACTTGTTAAAAGGTTTTCCAGTTCAGTTTTAAAACTACTTGAGGCGGCATTAGAGCTCGGCTCTCGGTTGAGTAAATTCCATCAGCAAAAAAAGAAAAGAAAAAAAATTGAATTTTTATTCTTTGATCTACACAGCAGCAAATATCGCCGTCCCTACGATATTCATAAATTGTTCAACACTGAGCCAGAGAATAATACAAGATATATAGATATATAGGATATATTCCCAGACTATTTCAATTAGTTTCTTTATAGCAATAAGCTCTGGATGCTTAAGGCTTAGACATTTCCTTATTCTTTGTGACCTACAGAATAACAGTTGAGTTTCTAAACACCATTTTGCTTGTGCATTTTTCAACACTTACGCGCCAAGTGTGTCAAATACGATTCATTGTGATCCTCATAGCCGCCACGTTCTCGATCGCCATGCCCATTGCCATGCTCATCCAGGGGATAATTATTGATATCGTACGATCTGCCGGATGCCATAATTCTGGGTCGATCTTCTTCGATGATGCTTTCGATTTCCTCTTTGAATATATCAAATATGTTGGCCGTGCATTTGAGCTGTGAATTTAAAGAGATCTATAAGTATTTTTGATATTTTTTCCTGGTATATCACAAGTACAGTGGTCGCTCGCGAAGTATAAAAATTGTGTTTTAGCGTAGATTGTAAATTATAAATTAAACAAATATTATAGTTAAACGAAGAACATTTTAAAGATTCCCATGGCTTGGCCAATTTAGAGCAAGTCCTTCTTTGCGTGCGACCACTGTATCGTGTATCCTTTGGGACATACCCTCATTTGACCCTTGAGAAAATGCTGTGTGGTTACCATAAAGTGGATGGCACTTGTCACCGATTCCAGAGTGCTATTCTCTTGTTTCTCAATCTGATAAGTCTTGATATGATGCGGTGGCACCTGCAGAAACAGAAACGGAAACAAAAATGAGAAACGGATATTGTCAATCGAGAGTGTGTCAAGTGGCATATTTTGGGGCACATGAATCGAAACGAAGCCACGCTTCAATACATCAGTTCAAAAGGGGGCGCGGCACTGTTTGCGACTCAAATTTATAAATATATTTATCAAAAGGCGCTGAATCTTACAGATATGCGACATCAGTTGTCTGCACTCATCACGCAACACTCAACCACACACACACACGCACACAGTCACACACACACACAATGCATAATGCACAAGTGGCGACTGTTAAGTGGTAACTGTGCCGTGTCCTGTTCTGAGCTGTGGTCCTCTGGCCGGGCCCTGTGCCTGTGCCTGAGCCTGGGCCTGTGCCACTTCTTACGCCCAAAAAACATGCCACAGCAGGCAAATTTATAACTTATGAATGATGAATAGATTCACGCTTGAGTGATTAAGTGGAGCAAACCCGGTTAGGTGGTGGGAGGGGGGTTGGGGGTTTTGGGCTGGGGTAAGGTTGACGAGGTGAGGACGAAAGCAGTCGAGCCAGGACGAGGCCACTTTGTTTGCGGTGAGTTTAGTTTGAAGTGCCTGCAGATAACGTTGCCAGCCTGACAGCCCCGCCCCGCCCCCATGCTGCCACACATGACTGAGGCGTGGGGCAGGTTCTGTTGAAAAGCGCTCGTTAGCTAAAAGATCAAGTGGCGAACCAACGCACACATACCAAAACACACTCGCACACGCACACACACCAGACCACACTCGAGTGTTGTTTGTGTTAGTTTTTGCTGAATCGCTTGTTTGATAATGATAAAAAATATTTCTATATATATATACATATATATTTGTGCGCTCGCTTCTCCATAACCTCTACTAACTGCAACTTTCTCAGTTGTTCTCTTGGTCCATTCACTGAATGCCAGCAAGGTCCTGCCTTTTATTTTTCGCCCCAAATAGAAAACTTTTATCTGGAATTTATTTATATAGCATGTATATAAAATTGCTTTTATTTATTTATTATTTACTCTTACGTATTTCGATTGATTGCATTTTTTTTTTTCAAATATTTTTGCGGAGAGCTCCTTTTTGTTTTTTTATTTAAGCTTAATTGAATGGCTGCTCGTTTAGCTAGCAATTTTCCAATTACGAAAACTCAAAATTTATTATTTTTGAGCTAAAAAATATTTTTTTAACTTGCTCAAAATTAAAATTTAATTTAGAAAATTACTAAAATAAAGTTGAGTTTTATGAATTGGCTCTGTAAAATACAAAAATGTTTTTCAAATGTTGTATTTTCTAAAAACTGTCATCTTTTAATAGCGTATATGCTCGTCTATGCCTTTTGCAGATGTTGCTAAGAGCAATTTAGATTTAATTTACTTTTCAAGCAAACAACAAAGAAATGTCCCTACATGAATTCTCGCCTTTAAGCTGGCATAAAATATTTAATTTATGGCACAATCTCAGGTTTTGCCCATTTTCTTTCGTACTATTTGCATCAGCAATTCACTGTGAAAATGTCCTCGCCTTTCTACCGGCACCTTAACTAAACTTACAACTTGTAGACGCATAAAAAGAATGCCCACACTAAATGAAATATGACTTGAACCCAACCAAACTGACATTGACAATGCCCCCAACCACGCCTACGCCAACTCTTGCAGTCTGCCCCAGTTTTATACCCTAGCTGAGGGTAGTTCAACTTCTTCTAGTAAATCGTCGTGCGTTTAATAGTTTATTTTAGATTAGTTTTTGATATGTCCTTGGCTGTTTATCAATATGTTTATCTAAATGAAACTAGGCAGAAAGTGAAAACATCGGAGGGCGCTCAAATTTCTGTTGAAAGTTGAGTTTCTATATGAAAAATGCTGTTTTTTCCAGGGTATTTAAGCGTCCATAGTAGTCCCTGTCATTTTCTCGCTCACAAATACTTTAAAGCAGCAATAACATAGCCTGTAGACAAAAATTCATACGTAATGCTCTCGCCCAGTTCAGGGTACGGCGCATATTCTACACACAAAAAACTAGCTGACAACCGAAACGTTTCTTGAAACAAACGCACCAAAACGGCAGCAAACCCAAAAATGCCGGGCCATGTCACTTGCCTCGACCCAAGCCCAGGCCCAGTCACAGAACTGTGTGAAATCATGCGGAACTATGACAGCAGCCAGCCAAGCCAAGCCTACCTGTACCCCTTGCCCCCTCCTCGCCTCCACACAAGCGTCCCACCCACCATCCAAATGGCGCGAGATGTTGAAGCTGCCTGCTGTGGTTGCGGCCATAAAACAGCCAGCCAGAGAGTAAAAGGCATAAAAAGTGACTGCCTATCAAAATATATATAGCTGGGGGTAGCCTAGGCGAAGGTACAGGAGCAAAGGAAACGCAGGTGCCAAAAAGTGTGCAACACACACGGGAAATGAAAAATCACACACTAAACGCTAAAAGATTGCCAAACGATCCAACTGTACAAAGTTTCGTAGCGTCGGGAAAGCAAGTAATCGCCGGCTAAGAGCACTAGAGACTTTTAGAGAATTAAGTGAAAAAAAATAAAATACGGTCAATCAAATGCTTGACAAAGAAGTAGATGAAGTAGAATCTTGAGTCAGACGAAATATATAATTAAAATTAAACAAAAATTAAAATAATATTATGTATGAAATAAATTAAATATATAAATGAAGGGATAGATCTTCTGGAGCCATTTAATCACGCTGTTTTCTCCTAGCTTAATAATCAGATAGCCACGAGATAAGAACTATTCTGTTAATTAACATAAATCTAACTACGATCTATCGATAAACAAGCGATATATACACACAAAGAGATGTCAATTTTTACTCTGCGTCACATCAATTAAATAAACATTACAGTTTTCTTAATTCTAGAGCCGTTCTTACAGTCTAGGAGATTCAGAAGCTCGAACCCAACTCTCTTGCCTGTTATCGTATGGTACTGTTACCATTCCTTCTGTTACATAACAGACGTCTAACATTTTATCGGCTACTAATGGCTCTCAATGATAACTCTATCTAACAGAGTTGTCAGCCCTACATGTATTTTTACATAAAAATATACAACTAAGATGAAACGGGCCGATTCGAGTTAAAAGTTGGTTATTTCTTTTATTATAAAAATAATAACAAACAAGTTAAAAGGTATAAACAAAAAAATAGAAAAAAATCAGGTCGTCTGTATAGCTATTTAAAGAAATTTCCAAAGCCCACGTAGAAATTAAATAAATACGTATTTCAGAGATTTTAGCAATTCCACACGAAACTGTGGAAATTTGACGGAAAATTTGCGACTATTTTTACTATCGGTTTTTGAACTCATTTTTAAAGATCTTTGTGCGAACTTATTTAATGCGTTGAAATCAAATGTTAAATTAACGAAAGAAAACCAAGACTGACATGGGAAACCCTTGATTCCAGCTTATGGTTCTTTATTCGATGGACTCTAAAAATAATTGTTTTTTGAGTTTAAATAGTATGAGAAGGATGGAAAAGTTGTATTTAAAATTTGAAGCACTGAGCTTGCCACGGGCAAAGCCGGAGTATACTCTCCAGTACATTCAAAAAAGCCGCGTTTGACCCCGTTGTCCATGATAAAGCCTGACCTAACATTTTTATTAAAATGTATGCTATTTTTGACAGATGAGACACATGATAATAACTAGACGCTAAAAGTCTAGTCTAAAGAGTAAAGCAAAATAACCATATTAAATATTCATCGCACTGCCTAATAACACTTAACCTAAGAAAAAGAAAAATTGAGAAAAAATATCGAAAAACGTAAAATTGTCGACAACACCTCTTAAATATATTCCTTGCCCACAAATGCGCAATTGAAGTGAAAACTAAGTGCTGAAGGGAAACTTTTATCCGAAATGCTTTTGGGACTAATTGAAAAATTGCGGGGCCATCAATTGAAATTGGCCCGAAGCGCACTCTAATTGAATGGCGGGATCGAAATGGATGCCAAACGGAGAGTAACCGAGCCGTAACCGAAACCAAAACTTACCACAATACCATTAATAGTCCATGTCAAATTAGCAGCCGGTTTCGAGTATTTAATTGAGCAATTGCCGTCGACCAAATCGCCAATGCGATAACGTGCCTGTATCCCGGTAACCACTGTGTGCTCTTCCGGTAACTCTGTGAGAGAGAGAGTGTGAGAGAGAGAGAGAGTGTGAGAGAGATGCAGTGTGCTGTAGGCGCACACGGTGTGCATAATGGAAATGTAAAATTAGGTGAAAAAAATTGGCAAAGGCTGGCGCCCATTTGTCTAATTAATTTGCTTTCGGAAAAGCGGCCCGCCTTTACCAAATTTTTTATTTGCTACCATTTCTCGTTTTGCTAGCTGCTAGCTGATAGTATTTTTATTGCATTGGGTTAATTTTCATTTTCTATCCATCTTCTTCTTCTTCTTCTTCATCTTTTTGTTGTTTTACTTACCCACCACCTCCATTTCGCCGGAGACCATCGCCGTTTGAAATGTGGGCGCCTCCACGGATATTTCGCATGTAAATTTGCCCGAAATATTCAGCGGCACCGACTGCAGCACGACATGACTTTGATTCGAGAGGTTACGCTAAAAGTGTTGCAAGAGAGAGACAGAGAAAGAGAGCGAGAGGGAGAGTGCAATAAAAATTAGTTGAAAAAATTGACAGGATGCGCTGCATAGAAATTGAATATAACGCAATGGCAAAGTTAAAAAAAAAAAGAAGAAAATAAAGAAAAAAAATATTGGGTCCTTCTGCTTTTGGTTTGCAGACGGCTGCCAACAGATGTTGATGAAAGGTGCTCGCCAAATGGAGCTTTCGAGCTATGGAATTATGGAGCTTGCATTTTAAGTCGACCTGTGTCCACCGGCCCCCTTTTGATTGCTTTGAGTCAAAGCCATTTTGCCTTTGGGCTATACGATGATTTGCAATATTAAAAATAAAAAATGTGTTATGAGCTGCATGAAGTGAAGAGGTTGGCAGATATTTTATTTATGAGTTGAGCAGCTCTTACAATGACTTTGAAAAGTTGATATCAAAAATTGCACCCAACAAAGGAGCTATTTGATATATGCAAAAGCAAATTAATTTCAGGTTTAATATAAAATTGGCGTTCCTAACAAATATGTATATATTTTTTAAATAAAAACAGCCGAGGAATTGGAGACCTTGGTGTATTATGCTAAGAATTCATGATAAATTAAACAACTTCTTGAGTTATTTGGAATCATCTAAAGATATTGAAAAAGAGAAATTTTAAAATAAAAAATGAATTGTAACAAATCAATGAAATATTTATTTATGTTAGAAGCTTTATTAGCTTTGAGAAAATTTACAATAAAATATAACTTAAATAAATCTGTGAATCCAATCGATTAAAAGTGCCTTTCCATATGTATACTTAAATATGTTAAGTTTACTTTCAAAATAAACAAGAAAATATGGCTATTTTCGGTACGCCGAAGATTTAATACCCTTGCAGACATTTGGCCTACGGTTTTGCAGATATTCGAGAATAGGGAAGCTCGTAAATGCTGAGTTTAATAAAAATATCAAGGAAAACAGAATATGTTGCCATAGATGACGATATTGAAATGACGAAAAAGGGCTTTTCAAAATTAACAATAAATGATAAATTAAATAGACTAAGTCTACCTTTCTATATATGTATATGTATATTTTAAAAGCTTAATTTAAAAATATTAATTAAATTACAAAAATACCTAATACAATTTTTAACGTCAACCTGTTCTTATTTATTTTATATAGATTTAAAAAGTTGTAACATTTGTTTTATTTGTTTTTATTGCAACGGCTTTTTGTCGAACATTTAAATAATTAATTGAAATTAATTTAGTGGTTCAAACTAAAGGCTCGCTTTAAATTTGAATTACAGTATGACCTCGCTCAACGCAACCCTCGTTACACGCAACTCCTCGATAATTGCAACACCCGATTTCTTAACATTGTAGAAACAGCTGTTCAGAAAAGTATAAATTATTAAAAAGTACAGACCACAATTTCTCAATTTTTCAAAAAATAAATAAAGTAAAATGAAAGCCTTGCTTTGAACACAGAACTATTCGATTTTCTTTAATTTTAATGGTTAGCAAAGGCATCTCTTTTTGGAAATAGGTCTCGTGGCCAACAGAAAATTTTCCCTCGGTTTTTGCAACAAACTCAGTTTTCTCAATTGGCCCAATTTTAATAGGTTGCGTTGAGCGAGGTCGTACTGTATTTGTATTCATCTCAATAGACAGCATTTTTTTTTTAAACAAAAAATATTAGCTGCTCATTTAATTGGGGCGTCAAATGTTTTGCTTTCTGGTCGACTATTCACTTGTGCACTCATCAGGCACTGGAAATTAAGGAAATTGTTAACGCGATATTTAATCTTTGACACGGCGAGTGCAAGTGCTCATGCGGAAATCCACTTAATAAGAATTAAATTGAATAAATTGCATTTAAAGATGGGCTTTAATATGCAAAATTATGGCACTTGCTAGACTCGATCGGCGACACGGTTGAGTGTGAAGTGAATTGAAGTGGATTCGGTTTTACGCCGGACATTTAACCCAATTTGCCCGGTCACCTAATTGGCTTGCATGCATTTCAACGTAATAATTAAAGTTGAAAACTTCGCTGTTCGACTTTTATGGTAGTATTTTTTATGCAATCTACATATATTGTTTTTTAATGAGCCGCAAGTCAATCGCGTTGCCAACTAATTGGGCAATGGAACTCACTGGATTCTGTTCTGTCTGCTGATGTTCTTATTGTTGTTGCTCTTGTTGCTCTTGTTGCTCTTGTTGTTGTGCATAATTACAACATTCAGAGTTTCAGAGATTGTTGTTGGGGAAAAATGCTGGGTAAAACGAATGAGATTTTTCCTGTGACTGGCTTAATGCAATCAGCCATTATGGGCATAATTTACAGTGCGTTTGTTATTTTATGACACGCAACTGCAGCATGTGCTCTTAATGTGAGTCAAACTCTCAGCAAACCAAGAGCCATAATGTATACATATATACATATATATTTATATATTTATATAATATCCATGTATATTCCTCTTCTCTATACTCACCTCGACATTAAGGCCACTTGTCATGGCAAACACTTTCATTGCTGGATTCTCTTTTGGCGTATAGCGATAAAACTCACGTTTGCCTTTATACCATTTCACCGAATATAGCGTATCGTTTTCCATATCATAATTACAGGTGAACAAGGCATTGCTGCCGCGTTTAACAGCCTGTGGTATCCTAACCGAAACATCCTTGAGCGCCACAATAAAATCTGCAAAGCATAACAAACAGAAAGAGAGAGACAGAAATGAGGGTATGAGTATAGAAATATAGTTTTATGTGTTTCACTAAATGAAATTAAGCGCAGCCGACGAGCTGTGACAACGACCCTTACGTGAGAAATCTTTAAGATGGGGGAGAGCATATTTAGTATAATTTGTTAATACGCTGTCAAGAATTTAAAACTGACTTTGTGCGCTAAGCCAAGTTAAAATTTGGCTCATTCATTTTATAAAAGTAACATACATAAAATCCTTGGTATATTATAATACATTAAAACAATATACACTTTTATATTTAGAAGATTATTTTTAATCATTAATGAATTGCATATTCAATGAAAGTAAAATTAGATCGAGGCAGAAGGTAACAAAAAAGGGAGAGGAGGGAGAGAGAAATTGTCTGAGTGAGAGAGATAGAGAGTAATTTAGAGTATACGCGAGAGCGTGAGATGACAACATTTGCAATACCTGTCAATGAGCTTATGAGAATCGCATAGAAGGGCAATCCGCGCTTAATCAGCTAAACATATTAAGGGCTAAGGTAGGGTTTTTGCAATATGCCAATTAAAACTAACAAGGTCTACTTGCGCTGCGTATTTGTCCGTATTTAATACATGAATAAACAGTTTCAAGAGCATGTGAGTTAAACATATTTACAGGGGAAGGCTTTAAGGAAATAAGATAATTAAAATCTATCAAGGTCTATTTGGGATCATGAGTATTGCATAGAAGGGCAATCCGTATTTAATACGCCAAGAATCAGTTTCAAGAGCAACTGAGATAAACATATTAAAAGGGCCAGCCTTTTAAGCAATACGCCAATTAAAATTGACAGCGCAGTAAACAATTGTGTGATACTTAAATTTACGAAAATCGCATAGAAAGGCAGCGATATATTTTAAGAATAACATTTTGATAAGTGCTTGCTGTTAGGTTTTTTTCGTTTACACTTTTGGCCAATAAATGCCAAAGAGAAGTTAGAGCTTATTCATATGGCAAAAATGTAAAGCTCTAAAAACTGCAATAAGGAGGAAGCGCACAACAGCAGAAGGGTAGACAGTCAGACAGACGGACAGACAGTTAGATAGATAGACAGACCGAATGAAAAACGGAAAACCAAACATACAATAGAATTTTACAGCATGCGAGTATGATAAAGCTGGGTTCAGCTACTGCCCGGGCTCTCCACTCTCTCTACACTTGGCAACCAGCTAAATGGAGAACCATTAAAAGTGGACATTTGTAAACATAAACTGACAGATAAACACCCAACGCCCAGGCAGGGCGAAACTTTAGCTGCTGCCAACCCAACTGTTGTTGGTTGGGCTGAGTGTGGGGTTCGACAATGAGTCCTGCCCTTGCAATTTTCATTGGTTTATATTACCTGTAAGCACCGCATGCTGTTCAGCTAGAGAAAGCCGTTAAAATACTTAACAAACGTAGATTGTAAAAGTTTTTAACAACAATATATAAAATGCCGGGGAAAAAGTTGTTGTTGTATACGGGCTGCAACCACAACGACAAATGCAACCTCTGCTGAAGGACAATTTAACTTGCAGGCCCTTGTCCGATAGCAAGAACAATGCAAATGGGGGCGGTCTAGGCAACGGGTGGGAAAGGGGAGGACTGTGGAATACGGCGATACGATATGTGCAGCTAGAGCAAAAACAAAGTGCACGCTCGTTATATGGGTCAATATGAAACAAAAAGCATTGTGAAAATGTATGAGCAAAATAGGAAAAGAAAACAAATGAAAGTGCTCGAGCAGAGCATGCTCAAGTATGTGATACCCTGTACTCAGTTCAGAGCTAGGACCTATAGATAAACACATATACAAGCTTAGTTCGGCTTTAGCCGATGCTAAAGACCTCTTCTTTCGCTTAGCTCTACCCAAATTATATTTGCAAATTGCTTCCTAAATATATATTAAATTTTTCATGATAAATGTCTGATCGCTACAAAAATGTAGGTTCAGTAAGATTGTAATTAACTATATGCATAATCCTTATGGATATTTGACATACTTTTCAAAATGATTCAGCTCGACTCGGCTGTTGAATGTGATCAATAATTCATATAGTTTCGGAGGTCAAATGCAAACAGGGTACAAAAAGAAAACATCGAAGTTGAATGATAGCAAAAGAAAATAGTTGCCAGTTCGTGTAGTGCGTGTGAGCGAGAGCGCACTAAGCGGAAAAGGGCACACCTATTGGTCGTATATGGTGATATTTAGTGCTACATTTGTTGTCACATGAAACGCACTACGGAAAGCAGAAAAACTAGAACTTGGCGGCCAACTGGGGGTCAGGTCAGAAAGTTGTAACTTGCTTATCAAATGCTGTTTTAGAATGGGGAAAATGACAGTGGGTTCGATTGGACCACACAGAGTTCAGTCAGGTGCGAGGGCCGTGTCTTCTGTTTCTATTTTGATTGTTCAGGCTTGTAATTTGCGCATATGCTGTGCCCAATATAGAGTTTGGTTTTTGGTTTGTGTTTTGTTTTTTATTTTTTTCTTCTGATTCTAGGGGAAGGTCAAAGTTGTAAATGTTTGAGCTTTTCAATGCTGCACTAATTGAAATTGCCCAGCGTTCAGAATTGTAGAAAATCTAAGAGCTAAAACTATTTTGGAAAATAATAAAAGCTAGCTTAATTAAATTCATGGCCGCTCTATGCGATTCTCATGAACTCAAGCAAAGCGAACGCTTTATTGCTTATTCTACCCTTCTATAAAATAGCGTCTTTCTGTGCGACTCTCTTTAACTCTTGAAAGGCGCTCACGCCCTTTCTTGGTTATATAAAACTAAAAAAAAAATATAATTGGTATTCTTAATGTAAATGCTTATTGTTTATTAATATAGCCTTATAAAATAGCAAGTTTTGCCTACATCTTAATTCACATAAGAATGTGGAGTCCAGTTCTCCCATGTTACATGCCTATACTCTTTTTTAATTGTTGTAATTAATTTAGTTTATGAGCAATAAGCTTTTTGCGTTTCTATTTTGTCATTTCTTAGTTTTTCTGTTATTTTCACATTTTGATTTAGCTCTAAAACAAAAAGTTTTTCCAGTATTAATGTTACATACGTTGCAAATTTGCAGCAAGTAAAAGTGCCAAACTTTTCACATAATTTGCAGTGCTTTCATACACATAAATACTGTGATTAGTTTTTATTTGCTTGTGCTTGTGCTAGAAATTTGTTAACTGTTCACAAATTTTTTGGCTACATGTTTTTGGCTTGTTTTTTCAAGGTGAGTTTACCATTTACTCAAATTATTTGTGTGTCGGATTTATGGTCTTTTGTTGTATTTATCATGATTATAGATTAGTTTTTTTGTTGTTGTTGTGTGCTCAGTCATTGACTTAAATAAGTCAGTTCATTTTGAAAACTTTGTAGACGAAATGCATTTGGCTTTGACATTAAAAGCTGATCAAAAGTTAAGCAGCCAAACGAAAACTGCGGGACAAACACCTCAAAGTGTTGTTCAAAACTCTGACAAAACAAACAAACGATTTGATACCCGCCGGCTGTTGGTGAGGGGTGCGCGGAGCAGACCAGAGGCGAACGCGAAGGGTAGCTGGTTGTGGTCTGGCAAAGTGCTGCCAAAAACGGGGGTGCCGCCACCGAGTTGCCTTGTAAGTGTTGCCACAGAAGTGACACAGCAACCGACCTCCGGACACACACAAACACAAACACACACACCCAGTCAGATGGTAACCAGTTCCAGAACCACTTCAGAGCGAGACGCGAGCGTTGCGACCGCCGCGAGGACCGCAACAACCTGACCAGAAAAAGTGCTCACCAGCTGATGACTGAGGACGATGTCGACTGTCAACACCGCAGCCAACACCAGCTCGACCGACTCCGTGCCCCGCCAGAACCAAACGCCCGATCACCCGCCCAAACCTTCCGACTGTCTTGCAGCCATTTCAACTTTGGAATTTCAATAAGGCCCTGGACGTAGCAGAGTGAAAATGCCGCAGGTGGTGACGGTGGCGGTGGGCAGGAAAGGGACGCAGTGGGCAACGTCAACGGCAAGGAAAGCAAATAAGCCAAAAAGTAAATACATAAATTAAAAGTGTTAAGGCGCGAAATGTTCAATGCGTGAATTAAATGAAATTGTGTGCTTTACAACTGAATATTTGAGTTAAATATCGTCATGGAGCTGCAGCTTCCTTCCAATAACACAATTGAAAATCAACAATTTTGCGTGTTAATGTTGATACTGAGGGTATACGACATTTGTTATTCACTATCTTAAATTAATTTAATGGCATTCAAATAAATTTGAATAAGCCTTCCGACTTAAGCCTCAACTCTTTAGCGTTTTTTGGCCCATTTCTGAAATCCATTTATGTAAGGCAATTCATAAGACATATTTTCAGGCTAAAACTTTTTCGTTTTGCTCCAACAAAATTTGAGGAAATTTAAATAATTTATTATTTATTTTTTATTAAAGCGTTTTTCTTTATATAAACTATTTTGTACTTGGAAATTTATTCTTTTGCGATCCCTATTTTTATCTATGCGTCATTTAGTGCATCATAAAATGCTTAAAGACTTATAACTGGGGCATATTTTGCCCAGTTTTTTACTTCGTATTCATATTTTATTAACGAAGTTTTTTGTACAGATTTGATTTAATTTTTTGTGTCTTTTCTTTCTTCTCCTGGTTTTTCCAGGCCAAAGCGAACACTATCTTCATTGCAAACGTAACTAACTCGGTTCATATGCCTTTTTTCAACCTATAGCATTGCATCCAAATTTTTTCTTTTCTATTTTCCAAACTATTTTTTATCATCAGCTGTCAATAGTTCATGCAGTTGGTCAGTGGGAAAAAATGGGCAAAGAAAAACAGTGAAAATCATTACATAAAAAGTGTTTTATGTTTTGCTATTGCAACTTTGACCAGGCGGCGTATGAGCAACATACACACAGTCACATCACACACACTCAAACACACACTCTGACGAGTTGTTGTATAGGGCTCG